TACACTGTTAAATTAGGGACGGCTAGCGCAGATAGCCCTCATGTAGCTTTGCGCGAAATTCAAAAACAAACAAACAAGTAGCTCCCCCCCATTGTTATTTCAAGGTGGGATTTAGTTTAGAAGCGTTTGACTAAGATTTGAAAAAGAACTTGGATGTAAACATGCAGAGTCGAGACTTTCAGAGTATAATTTTATTAAAACGTATTATTATTTTGAAGTAAAATTAATAAGTTAGTCAACGTCGGTGGATCTGTTTAGCTATAGCCTACGTATCGTGGTATTTCTAAAAAGCAACCAAAAAGAAATAATTCAAGCGTCTACTGACCTTCAAAAGTCGCTTGAGAATTCTGGCATCCTTTATTGGGATTTAACACTTTTTGATTCAATGTATTTTTTGAGATTTCTAAATGTTGAAGATGATCATTTGAAATAAATAACTTACTTTTCTTTCAAATTTTCACAAACGCATAATGATCTGAAAACATCAGAATCAAAAGTTATTCCTTTCTCTTAAAGTTGCACTGTTATTAGTAATGTGATTGGTCAGCTTATTTCAGCGAAAAAAAAAAAAAAAAACGTTCTTCAATAGAAGATAATTCAGTAACCTAAACCTAACTTAACCTTAACCTAACCTAACCTCAGTATGTAGAACCATTCGTTTTTAGGCCCATGGAATCGAAAACGACAGGGTCTAGTGAATGTTTTTTTAAATTGAAAACCTATAACTTTTAATCATAATTTTAACCCCCCCAGTGGCACAGCGGCATGTCTGCGGACTGACAACGCTAGAAACCGGGTTTCGATACCCGTAGTTGGCAGAGCATAGATAGCCCATTGTGTAGCTTTGGGCTTAAATTCAAACGAACAAACACAATGAAAGTGGAAATTCGTAAAAATACGTGTTTCCTATCAACACATTTGTTTGATTGTCCAATCTTAAATTAAAATACATTATTCCGAGTACGAGAAGGCGGTATTTAGTTTTTATATCAGTTTTAAGAGATTGCATAATCAAGCAATATTATAATTTAAGGAGCCATGAAATCTAATAAAGCAAGTGTTAAGTACATAGGGCTGAGTACACTGCATTAAAATTAATTTGAATATTATAAACACTATGTATATGATCACTACGCATTTTAACAATAGCCCTGAAGCGTAGTTTCCAATGAAAAAGTTACCATCATAAGAATGTCATGCCCAAAGCCCACATCTCCTTCCTCCTTGCTTTCTATATTTTTATGTATTATACAAGGACAACAGTTTCCTTTGACGTATTTGAAAAATCTGATTGGACACAAATAAATCTATAAGCGATTTAACCGAGATGCCTTCAAATGGAATAGTATGAAACCCTATTTTATTTTCCAGATGCTTGACGTATATGATAGTTAAATGGGGATATGACTGGGAAACTCATACTCTGTTATTCTTGATTAATTTGTATATTGCTGCCTGGGGCACGTGGACAGCTTTTGCTACTGACCTTTTTGTTCGTACATTCTTATTTCTTACAAGATACTACACTTTGCTTACCACAATTGAGGTACGACCTATTGCAAGTCTTTTTTGGATGGCCCTAGTGGTCCATGTTAATCCATATTCCTCTATTTTCCAATGTTATTTAGTAAATAGAATATTCTCATTTTGAAAATGCTAAGTTAACGAGATGATCACATCTTTATGATATGAGTGTATATACATTTTGCTTTGCAACAGGCAGCTACATATCTTTCCTAAAAGTTATCAACTTTCAATGTAGATCTAATACCTTCAATCCCACTGTGACTTTATATTGGACATGACTATCACACGTCTTTTTAGTGTTTCTCAATCGGGTGAATGAGATCATAATCACGGTGAATGAGGATGATGGAGTGGATGGCAGGGTGAATGAATATTATTAATTATACAACAAATTCAAGAACAAAAATTCATTAGTTATTATTATTTATTCCAGTTGTAGTTTGATTAAAGTCATAATAAGGAATTTAGTAATTTAATTTAGTACCTTTTGTTTTTTTTTCCAACTTGGGTGAGTGAATTGTTGTGAAAACGTATAGGGGTGAATGGTAGTGGAAAAGGATGAGAGGCACTGAGTCGTAGAGCATGATTAGACACGGTGATATGGACTGAAATGATGTGACGAAACTCCAAAATTGTTTTATCATAATGTACTCAGCCTCTGTAAAAGACAAATTTATAAAATATTAATTGTTTCATTTGGTTGTCTATGCTTCCATTATTCAAATAAATTTTACATTTCTCTACAGATTCTTTCTTAGTTAATTTTTTAACAAAAGTTCATTCTCTCAACAGTTATTAAATAATGAATTTAAATCAAATCACAACTGTTTGGAAAGTTAGTGGTAATACTCTACCACGTTAATATTTTCAAAGTTGGTTAGGGCGCTCGACTCGCAATCTGAGGGTCGCGGGTTCGAATCCCCATCCCACCAAACACACTCGCCCTTTCAGCCGTGGGCGTTATAAATTTACGATCAATCCCACTATTCGTTGGTAAAAGAGTAGCCCAAGAATTGGCGGTGGGTGGTGATGACTAGCTGCCTTCCCTCTAGTCTTACACTGCTAAATTAGGGATGGCTAGCGCAGATAGTCCTTGTGTAGCTTTGCGCGAAATTCAAAAACAAACTTAACGACGACTTAAATTCTGATTGTGTATTTCTGTGAGATTAAAATAAGTGCTTGACAATAAACGATTATACATCTTATAGAGATTTTTATATTTTTGTTCTTCTTTAGAGAGCTCAAGTTGGAGGCTTCCCTTACAATGGTTTACAGATAAAAAACAAATACAAGGTGCAGGAGACAAAAAACAGTCCAGAAGACTAAGGTTTGTAACAGTTACTTGCCTGTCTATAAAGTATTGCACTGTTGAAACCAGCATATCTTAGGTAAGGATTGCTTGTATTCTGTTTATAATATATATAGACGTCATATTATCGTTTAATCAACAAATAAAGTCTTCACAACAGAAACAACTGGTTAATTTTTATAACAAAGCAAAACTTTCTTTATACTTACAACTCGTAATTTATTGTTTCGTGAAATACTATCAACTTGAGACACATACTTTAGGCTAAATTGTAGCTTCGTAATTTGATACTAGACCTTTTACATGCCTTTTACTCTTTTTATTTTAAAAGTAAAGTTCAAATAATTGTGATCTTTTTCTATACTTCCACAGTTGGAACGTAGAATTGCACAAACAAATTTCTAACTTTAATTTCCCTTAGGTCCAAGTGAAGATTGGGTGACCTTTTGTACGATTCTCTTATAACAATAACAACGTGCTTTTAATTAGCAAGCTGAGTTATTCGGTCAGACAGTAATTATAGTATTTTGGTACATGTGTATAAAGTTAAAATCATAAATAATATTCAACGTTAAACTGGTACACAATTAAAAACAATTTATTTAACGACTCTACATGTTTCGGCAAT